TGAGGCCACCAAACCCAGTCTTACTTTATATTCTCAGCAACCATGCCATGCTGGTGCACAGGAGCCCTATCATTGCTGTGCTGCCAATACACTGTTGCACACTCATCCCAGAACATTCAGCATGTATCCACCATGATGATAAAGCACCATGACTTCACTATAGAAGTTTTGTGCATTCACAGAACCATTGTAGACCTATCACACCTGATGGAGAACACACTGCATTCTTAAAAGTCACTTGAAGACGTCGCCAAGACCCTCCACATTAGATAGTAGTGAGATTGTCATATTGTGTGAAGGGGGCCCAATAACCAATTGCATAATAACTGCACAACATATATTATTATTATTATTGTTTATCTCTGCTGTGTTTGTTGCAGAAGAAATAAGATACATTTGATTTGTAAATTTAATGGGAAACAGCCAGCCTTCTAAATATAATTAGATTCTAGTTCATTGCTATCCATATTGGATCATTAAAGTGGCCTTGAGCAAAAATGTGCTGCCTCCCTATGGATAATATTTTTTCTTAAATGACCATGGACGTCCTGGAGTATAAACAAATATAGATGTCCACACAAGTGTATCTCTTAACAAAGTTCAGTCATAATAATTGGCTAAAATGATCCTTGTTGTGACAAATTAAAATAGTAAACTAATACCTGTTGTACGTGTGCAATCTCTTCTCTTATTAACCTTGTACCTTCAATCTCCTTATGGTTCCACATTTAACAGGAGTCGGGCGGTAAAGATACCCCAACAGATCATTCATCTCCAACACCCATCCGTGGTTACTGTTGCTATGCATGGTGGGTCGTTTCCATCACCGATGCATCCAATAGGCATGTCGGCGCAGCCAGGGAGTCTAAAAACAGCATTCTATATTACCGCATATAATGAGAGAGGCTTCATCAGTGTTCTCTCCAAATGTCAGAGCGGCTTTAATGATTTGCTGAGCGCGCTCACACACTCACACGCAGATTCTGTGTGGCTTTTCTGCACTGCTGGCGTTTTCACTAATCTCACCTATCTTTATTCCCTCCCTGCTATTAATTCTCACCACTGACAGTATTAATTATTTTCCTGTCTCATGTTCTTCCTCCATCCCTTATCATGATTATCAAATGGGTAACTTGCACCATTTTTTCCCCCCTTTCATTTATTTACACAGAAATAAAGTTTCAAGAATGTGAGCACATTTCTTTGACTCATAAGTGTGTTTACAAGAGCGAGGAATCATTGTGAAGCCAATAGAATACACTTTAATGGCTCTGTGGCACACAAAGACCCCAAAAGACCCCCTTCTAGCCGAGAGTGTAATGTAATTTTTAGACACACAAATCGGATCAACATCTAATCACTTCTACCAGGATGTGTGGTTGTGTGCGTTTGATTTTTATACTGAAGAACAGAGCCAGTTCACCAGCAGGGCAGGAGATAATGCTCTGAATAATTTATTTTGACTGATAAGTGAGTGGTAAATAGATTAGAGTTGTGCGACAAATCTGGAAAAAGGCCAATACAAAGAAACTGGAAAAGAAAACAAAGGAGTTGTGTTCAGGCAAGCAAACAAACTGGGGTGGAGAGTGGAAGCAGTGGGAGAGCAGACAAATTATATAAAAAAAGAAAGATAAAGAAAAACTCTTAGAGAAAGATAGAGACGGAAGAAAGAAGCGGTGGCAGACTGAGGATTAAGACTTTCAGAAGAGGACAATGTAAAGCAAAGAATGATACAGAAGAAGAGGAAAGGCTTACGAGGGAACATGCCGGCCGGGCTCTTGGTGCATTGCAGAAGGTATTGCCATGGAAACGATCAGAAGGAAAGTGCAGACGAGGAGGAGGGGATTTTAAAAAGGAAAGAAGAATTCACTGCTTCGCACCATTCGAGGGGTGTTCTCTTGATGAGAGAGGAGGGGCGCAGACTTGAGTTAAAAGTTATCAAATAAAAGTGTAAAAACTCATAAAAGTTGTGACTGCGAGGATCATTTACATATACTTTTTGTCTAATGATGTTTGGAGAACATTTTTTACAAACGTCATGCGCGGATCCATTTTACGAGCCGGCATTTCAAATAAGTGTTTCATTTAAGCATTAATTAAAATCCGAAACGACAGGTGATGAGCCTGTCGCCATGGTGCCGGTCTTCTCAGGTGGCGCTGTCTGGACCCAGACCCGAGGGCAGTGTGGAGGTTTGTCACAGCAGCGGATACACATGGAGTTTGTCTTCTTGTCATGCTGTAAAGTTACTGTCGGGTGGAAATGTTCCTGACTGCAGGATTATAAATAGAAAGCATCAGAAGACAGTACCCCTCTCCTCCTCCTCTTCCACACAAACACCCGTGGGACCCCATCCCGCCATTCTCATCTGTCTCTCCTTCTCCTGTCTCCACTCAACCTTTTTTGTTGCTCCTCAGCGCCACTCTTCATTCCCTTATTCAAAACCCTTCATCCTCATCTCCTGAAATCCCCTCGAAGTCTCATCGAGTGGCTTTGTTTGCCTTTGTTGATCTCCATAGAGATGGTGATGATGCAGGGTGTCTGTGGTTGTCATGGCAATAAGACTGGCATGGCAGGGATGCTAAATGAAACTGGAGTTTCTCAGGCTAATGAGGTGGGCTTGCAGTTGCAGGGTGTGTTCTTCTTACCCTGCGACAATGAGCAACGGCTTGTTAAAAGTCTGCTTAAGTGACTTCACTGCATAGCTGAAGCATTCGGGCTCCTATAGAGAAGGAGTTTCTACTTCAAGCACCGCTGAAACCCTAATGAGCTGCACTGAGGCAAAAATGAAGGAACTTCATGTTTCCTGTTCCTTGCTATTGCTTTGATAACCACGGATTCATCTTGGTATTAGCAAGCTTCATAAAGGTGGAAACTTACTGTCGCCTTAAAAGAACGTCCCAAAGTTCATATGACTGAAATGTCATTTTATAACCCAGACCGCTCACATACCACCACTGTGTTCAAGCTGGTGTAAATATTTCATGCTGGAACAGTTTGTGCATGACTCACTTACTATTAACTGCCTGGCTTTTAAACAAGAGCCACTTAGGTTGGAGCCTTTGGTGCAAAAAAATTTAAATTTATTTATAGTGTTCACCAACATCCAGTCCTGTTTCACGGCAAAAAACACAGGCTGAAGAGTTTCAGAGCAGATATTTATTCACAAACGGACCTTGGTACATGGGTCACACTTACAACAAAATTTGTAATCTTTAGGGTAGGACGTATTACTTTGAAAAATGGTTGTGCATGCCCAGTTTCATACTTAATGTTATAACAGAGACAATTATGGACAACATCACTTTGATTCAAGGATTCAAGATTTTTTATTTGTCATTTGCACCACGTCTGCCTTCACTACCAGGATCTCCCAAACCCTGATGGACAAACTACTCACACTAGGACTAAGCCTCTCCCTATGCAACTGGGCCATAGACTTCTTAACAGACAGACCACAGTCTATGAGGATCCACAACTTCTCCTCCTCCTCCATAACCCTCAGCACTGGCTCCCCTCAGGGATGTGTGCTGAGCCCTCTCCTGTTCACTCTGCTTACATATAAATAATACAGATGATGTAGTGCTATATAGATAATGTAGACAATATTGATAATATAGTACTATTCATGTACTATTGATGTATTATTCATATACTATTCATGTACTATTCATCCATCCATCCATCCATCCATTATCTTTACCCGCTTATTCCATTTTGGGTCACGGGGGTCACTGGTGCCCATGTCCAACATTCACTGTGCGAGGGGCGGGGTACACCCTGGACGGGTCGCAAGTCCATCACAGGGACACATAGAGACAAACAACCATTCAATCTCTCATTCACACCTAGGGACAATTTAGAGTTACCAATCAGCCTAACATACATGTTTTTGGTCTGTGGGAGGAAACCGGAGCACCCGGAGAAAACCCACACATGCACGGAGAGAACATACAAACTCCACCCAGAAAGGCCCCTGGACCGGGGTTTGAACCAAGGACCTGCTCGCTGAGAGGCAGCAGTTCTACCAGTTGCGCCACCGTGCTGCCCATGTACTATTCATTCAAAGATTTTTTTTTTACTTGACATTATTTGATATGCTGATTCCAGAGCAGACGCCACTAAATACAATGTTTTTCCTCTTCTTTGGAGCCAGAATTGAAACTGCTGATGAAGCAGAGGGTGTCAGTAGGGTTGTGGTTGTCTTCGTTGAGATGTCAAACAGAAACAGAGTGCATCGTTCCATGGCAGGGTGTCCAATTCTGGTCCTTGAGGGCCACTATCCTGCATGTCTTACTCGTTTTCTTACTCCAGCACACCTGGACCAGGACTGGACGCCCCTGTTGGGATGATGTCCTGAAAGGGCATAGCAGCTCTCCTGATCGCTCCTTTTCACCTAGTGCCAGCAGAGTTGTATAGATTAAATATCTCACCCCGACTTCCATGTTTTCATCAGCTCTTCCATTTCTTTTTTCAAGTCTTCGACCTGTAACACTTCCCACACTGCTGTGCTGTTTGTTTCTACCTGCCATCTTCAGCTGTAAGAGTCCTACAAACTTATTGCTCCCTGTGCACAACAGCAGCTGCCGAATGGGCTTTGTGTGTTTTAAATGATGTCTTAATACCTGAAAAGTGGAGAGATTTTTCAATAATACTGGGACATGCTGGAGGATATTACATGAGATTGCTTTCTCACTTGAGTGAGCTTGCTTCAAAATACAGAGAGACGGTTGTTCTCAAGGTGAATTAGGATTTTTCCTCAGTGGTAAAGAGTAGCTTTGCAAAAGAAAACCTTTGAGATAAGAGCATACAGTGTGACAGAAATGATCCAACTATTTAACTATCCTTTAAGGGTCTGATCATTCATAAAGTGTCGAAGCAGCAGGTCCACATGAGGGACTAATCCTACATCTGTCAGCTCTTTGTACCTCTCAGATTTTCATACTTAATAAGGAATCCAGCTGGAGTGGGGGGCTTTAAGTGTGACCTCTGTGTTATTCAGATGGTGGAATGAAGAAGCTCCGCAGCACCATCCGACGGAGCACAGAGACCGGCATCGCCGTGGAGATGAGAAATCGGGTGACACGGCAGGGCAGCAAGGACTCTACAGATGGCAGCACCAACTCTAATAGCTCTGATGGAACGTGAGTGTTCTCCCAGCTGCTCCTCCATCCATCCATCCATCCATCCATATCTATGTCCGTCCATACGTCCGTACATACATACATCCGTCCATCCATCTGTCTGTCCGTCCATCCATCCGTTCATACATTCGTCCATACGTCCATACATAAATCCATTCGTCCATCCATGCATTCATCCATCCATTCATCCATCCATCCATCAATACATTCATCCATCCATCCATACACACATCCATACATACATCCATCCCGTTTGTCCATCCATACATCATCCATCCATACATCATCCATCCATCCATACATCATCCATCCATCTGTCCATCCGTCCATCTGTCCATCTGTCTATCCATCTGTCCATCCATCCATCCATCCATCCATTCATTCATTCATTCATTCATTCATCCATCCATCCATCCATCCATCCATCCATCCATCCATCCATCCTTATCTATGTTCTTTTTCTCAGGTTTGTCTTTCCTACCACACGCCTGGGACCAGAGAGCCAGTTCAGTGACTTTCTGGATGGGCTTGGCCCCGCCCAGATTGTAGGCCGGCAAACACTAGCCACGCCCCCCATGGGTAAGCCAAGAGCCTGTCCTATTCTTTACAGGCATTTTAAATAAATGCTGAAAATATTTCACTTCTTTATTTAGGTAGATTTAATTGTACAAGTAAACTGAGTTGTTATGACTAAAAGAAGCAAAAACAAACAAAAAACTAGCAAAAAGTTGCCAAACAGCCAAAATCCAAATGCCACAAAAGGCTAGCTAAAAGCCAAAAGTTACAAAAAGTGAACAGTAGAAAAATACTTGCTAAAACCTAAAAACAGCAAAATGATAACTTAACATTTAGCTAAACTTCTGCAAATATTTGCTTCTTCTTTTTGCAACTTTTAGCTAAAGTTTTGCTGCTTTTAGTTATCATTTTGCTGTTTTTAGGTTTTAGCAAGTGTTTTTCTGCTTTTAAAGTATAGCAAAAGCCTTGCTAAAATATATTGGTTGAATACAAAGACACAGCCAAAGTAAGTATGCTTGAACAGATTTTTTAAAAAGTGTTTTATTTAGGACTTACATAGATCTGTGTTTGTCTGTAGGAAACAAAAGTTGAAGCGTTCCATCTCCTGAATGAGCTGAATGTTTTGGTATATGAATAGCTGAAATAGTGTAAAGCATGCAGAAGCAGTTAGAATGGAACAAATATATTCAAAAGTGAATAAATAACCCTACTTAAAACAAATAGGAAACAAATAGTTTTAATCCTGAATCAAATGTTTTCATTATGAACTAGAAAGAGGCAGGTTATTGATGTTGATTTAAGACAGTTTATTTTTTTACAGTTCTTTTTTTCACAAACATTTAAATGTGCCTTTGTATCTAAAAATATCACACAATACTTGTGTATTCCGTCAGAAAAAGGAATAAATATTTGATGCATTTGAGTGTTTCTGCAGACTTAGTAGAAAAGTAACCCTGCAGCTCTTTGGCTCCCTCTGCTGGCACTTATTAATAACTGCATCTACTGTACATGTTTTCATCAATGACTGAACTGACTGCCTTGTTTGAAACATTAGTCAATGTGTAATTCAATTTTAACATTATTTTTCACTTTTGTAGGGGATGTCCATGTAGGCATGGTGGACCGTGGAGGACAGCTGGAGGTGGAAGTGAATCAAGCCAGAAGGTTGACCCCAAAACCAGGCTCCAAAAACATACCTGGTACTGACTTCATCTGTTCAAAGTATTCCTGTTTGTTGGGGGCATTATTTATTAGTTTATTTATTCTTTTATAGCCACCTATGTGAAGGTATATGTCTTGGAAAATGGAGTGTGCTTGGCCAAGAATAAAACCAAAGTAGTGAAGAAGAGTTTGGACCCCACCTACCAGCAGGCTTTGTTGTTTGATGAGAGTCCTCAGGGCAAAGTTCTACAAGTAAGAGTGACATTTTATTTCCTTCTTTGTTCTTCTAATCTTTGTTTTCTCTAAGCTTTCATTCATCGCTATTTATTTTTGGATGGATAAAAATAGAGATAGGCAATTCAAACTACAGTGCACTTTCTTCAATATTTGATTATTCTTTGAGCTTTGAATTTTTGAAGACTTGTGGTGAAATATAGTCCACTCTGCATACCACAAGTCGCTGCTGAAAACCCCTCTATGCTCCTAATTGTGATAGCCAGGTTTTTATTTTGTATTTGTTCATTTTCAGCAGTGCGATGGATCATTGTGGAGGAATCCTCATGCCTTTTGGCAGCAAAGTTGTTGCTCTTCTGTGCTCTTAGTTTCTACTTAAAAGTCCTTTCAAAATAAAACTAGGATAGCAGAAACAGATGCAGGATGGAGGGTATTTTGTGTCAAAAATAGCAAACCGTCTGGAAATGCACCATGGTTTTAAGATATAGCTTGGTGCATTACAGCTACCTCATAGTCTTGTTATTTCAGCGGTACTAGTTATCAGTGAAAACTAAAACAAAAAAGAAACGACTACCTATGACAGGGCTCTGCAGCCTGTGGCTCTGGGGCCACATGTGGCTCTTTAGTCCTTCATCTGCGGCTCTATGAAGCTTGGACCAAAACTTACAGGAAATTTAATTGTTCTGGCTTTTAAATCCACAGCAAAAAAAGGCTAGTTTTGGCTGTTATTTTTGTCAATTTTCCTGCAAATGTTTGAGCGACATTATTTTTAGCTTTTTTACTCCAAAAGTGTGATACTTAAGTTCTCCTCACATAAAAGGTCACACAGGCCTGCAGAGTTCAGTGTTTTCATTTTTATCTAAAGGTAGAAACTGGAAGTTTTTACTTCTTTACTTCATAGATTTATTTTGCATCCCAAAATGTAAAAATATGAGAACATTTTGAAATTCATTATTGATTCTTAGTTTTAAAATGTCACCCCCACTGGTCAGAAAAGCCCCCTCCAACTAACCCAAAGTGGCCCATGGGCCACCAGTTGATCATCACAGTTGTAGCAGGTTTCGCGGCTCGGGGCTCGTTTTTATTTCATGAGCGAAGAGGCAGAAATTGTTCTTTGACCAAAAGGTTAACGAGACCTGCTAACGCAAATGTTGCTTTTACTGTCGAGCAGCAATGCAACATTAACAAGATGTTAATTAAAGCATCAAACTGAACACAAGCCGTTTTCTTTCTCAGTCCTGTAAAATACTCATTTCTAGAAATCTCTTTAAGCCACTGTACGTTCTGCATGATCTTGACTCTAGCCGAAATATTTTACTATTTGTGCCAGAAGTGCTAAAAAAAAATGCATTCATGTCATTCTTAAATACAAAACTGATGACAACGCAGTTTGCTTTTCCGAGGCACCGTTTGTGTTTGTTTGGGATTGTAATAGCAAACGTTAATCCATCTCAAACATGACCAGAAATCAATGCCAGACTCCATCATCTCGTTAAGACATTATTATCCTCTCTCCTTCAGGTAATAGTGTGGGGGGATTACGGACGTATGGACCACAAGTGCTTCATGGGAATGGCCCAGATCCTCCTGGAGGACTTGGACCTGTCTGCCACAGTCAGCGGCTGGTACAAGCTGTTCCCTACCTCCTCCCTGGCAGACCCCAGCATCGGACCCCTCACCAGACGCCTCTCCCAGTCCTCTCTGGAGAGTGCCACCAGCCCGTCATGCACCTAGATACCCAGCAGACACCCACATGAGCAGGCACAAGCACACACAGTGTTTACACGACGACTCTCTATAAAGCGCAACAACACACACATCCTTCAGGAAGGCGTACCGCTCATATTTTCATCCACCGATTAACGCTAGCTGACAAAACGAGCAGCGAAATCTAAATCCACACAAATAACCTGAACATGTAGCACTTTTGTTTTCCACCCACACACGTCAGCATTTCACCACACACCCGGTGCCACGCCCTGCATCGTTCCGAGTCACCAGATCCACGTGGCGCATCTCATCCCGATGCCAGTTTCTAAACTCTCTATGCCAAACTGAGAAAAAAAGCAAACTATTTTTTAAAACCAAAGCAATTGTTATTGTTGTTATTATTACTATAAGTAGTGGGTGAACTAGTACACAATATAAAGTATGAATATGTAGCAGAGTCATTGACTTAGATGTAATGCAAAAAAAAGAAGAAATAAATAAAAATAAGACACATTTTACACAAATAAGCTCTAAAGGATAAGTCAAACACACAAACCTGGCTAACAGGCACAATATTCACACAACGGCTGTTATGTGAGGTAGCAACACTGCTATATATACTTTTCACAGGGCAGAGTTTATATACCTGAACAGATAGCTAAATACTTTTTTGTCTTATATGTATCGGCTGCATTCTGCATGTTTGCTTGCGAGACATTTTGACGTGTTTACGTCTTTTTATTTAGCTTGCCTTGACTGATGTGAGCAGGAGCACAGCGCTGCTTTGACTTTGTCCCGAGAAGAGAGCGATGCACTGTAAGATGAGGCGACTGCCATCGCTGCAGACGAACGAGAGCAGTTCAGTCAGCCAGCTGCTGCCTTCACCTTCGGAGTCAGACTGTGGGAGCGCAGAGCAGTTCGAGAGGGGGTTTGTGTTCCACGTCCCCGTGGGCGCCGCAGTCCCGCTTTGTCTACCAGCATCTGGGCTCGTTTGGGCGTCCAGTTCCTTGTTTTGATGTCATAAATTCTTCTTCCTGCTTGATGCGGATGATAGGTGGCACCTGTGGTTAGATCACAGCTCCGTTCTCTTTGCTCGCTCCAGTCTGTCCCTCCGAACCCGCTGTAAATGTGTAAACATGTAAATAGCTCCAGAAGAGGTTCTTTCTTTTTGGATATCTATCACACAAGTATTATTTTACTCCTATAAACAGTACACAGCCATATTATGGTAGTTCTACTTGTCCTACGTGCAATATGTCCAGAAGGCGTCCTTCAGCGTTCATGTTTTAGACGGCACTTTATTGTAAATTGGGAATTATTTTTAAAACTGATCCCTTATTATCCACTTATGTTTTTATTCATTTTCAGTTTTTTTTTAAATCAAATACAGGAGTTACAGATTCATAGAACCCTTTAATTTTAGAGTTCAAATTCAAGCAGAGTGTATTTTTTGTACTTATTCAAGGAGCACTAGAGCAGCGGAGAAGGTTAGTTTTGCAGATGATTTTGGCTTTGAATCCAAACAGTCATTGATGATACTTTACTTACAAACAAGCAAACAAAAAAATCTTTGTACACCTTAAACTGCAACATATGAGCAGCACTAAAATATACTTATCCTAAAATAATGAGAAAAGCCACAAGAATTGCTTTAAAGAGCTGGAAATAATTTTGATGTCCTGTTTTGAAGAGAAAACTTTGTAGTGCTTTGATTACACGTCGTAGCATGGAATACAGATTAAAAACAAACAAAC